GAAGAGAAGAAAAAAAAACTGGTTCCTTCCTCATCCTTTCTAACTTCCTCTAGCTTTGCTTATCACAATAACTTCTTAGTTATCTTTGCAACTCCTTCTCCTGTTCCCTTTAAGAGTCCACAATTTAGCCCCTTTTCTGTTTTCCTTTCTCTTTTTAGGGATGACAAAGTTGGAAAATCATTGCTGTTGGTGGTATGGAGCCCTAGGAAAATTGTATGTTGTCTGTATGCATGCATGTGTTTATCTATGTATTATTTATTTATTGCCCCGAGACTGTGTCATGAAATTCCAGCAGAAAAATACCATGTAACTTTGTTATTTATCCAGATAGATCCTCTTTCCTAAACTTTAGCCAAATTTCTTTCCTGGGTTGCCATTTGTATATATACATATGTATAGGAATCTACATACACATTTGTGTGTATTGTGTTTATTGAAATATAGTTTTGAATTGCACAGCTAATTAATAAATATATTTTTTTCGGTTAGTTTATCCTTCACAAGTGTTATCACACTCATCTCTTTTCTCCTGTACCCGATGCCACCTCACTAATACACAGCTCATCACCACAAACTGGTCTCCCCAGATCTACCTTTTATAGGTCCCTTTATTCATCATGCATTTTGCTACAGAGCAGTTCCTCTAAAGTACCACCCTGATCATTCTCCTCCATAGCTGAAGAGCCTCTAACAGCTGCCTAGTTGTGATCAGGTCTGCTAGGTGCCTCCCTGATATTCCTTTGTAACCAAATCTCCCTTTACTGGTAAAGTACCCAGTACATTTTCCAGCTTCTTTTGCGTCTAGGTGTCTGTGATTGTAGAGAGAATTGGTTGGGTGAGAATTCTGGTAAAGTCTCCTAAAGAGGAAAAACAGAGCTGGTATAGGCTGTTTTTTTATTGCCCACTTTCCCATCTTTTCTGCTGCCTAGAATTTATATGTGAGGGCTGGAGCTCTGGCAACCATCTTGAAGTAAGAGGTAACCAGGAACATAAATTCATATGCTAATAATAGAAATGCAGAAATATAGAAAGTACTTGAGTCCCACCCACTGCCCTGGAAAGAAACAAAACATACCTTTGTGTATTTATTACTGTGTAGTTTTCTGTTATGGGCAGGCCCCAAATAATTTATTCTCTCTACAAATTTAGCTATTTTTCCAATCCAGCAAATGTAATGTATTGATTAGTTTTTATCCACTGCTACTCTTCTTAAGGCAGGGATTTACAGATAGAAAGATGATCTGAGTCAAAGTGACAGTGATGTCTGTAGGCATTACTCATGACCATTGTATTCTGTTTCTTTGTCTGGAAACTGAGAAGAATAATTTGCACATTAAAGTGTCTGTTATTTTTCTTTTATCCTGTTTTTTAGTTGTTATGAGCCCAATATCACCCGCAGGGTAAACAGTTGGGAGAAGGAAAAGGAGATAAAACTCAAATCAGGATATTTTCTCACATATTAAAAGCCCTTATAAGCAGGTTAGTGGTTGAAAAGGTTCAGGTTGCGAATGTTCAAAAAACCAAAGAACTTATATGCATATATGCATAACCAATGGACATAGACAACAATGCTTGGCTGGGGGGGGGGGGGGGAGAGAGGAGGGTGCCTGGAGGGGGAGGAGAAACATCTGTAACAAAAATAAATTAATTAATAAAAATAAAATAAAATAAAAAAGATACCTAAAAACAAAAAGTCAGTGAGAGAAAATATCAGTAGATTGGGCCTCAATTATTAACATTTTACCCTCACTCTCATTCTTAAGAATAATGGAAATGTGACTACACAGGTTGCATTTTGTAAGAATACTTGACCTATTAAGTAAATAAACAAATAGACACATACGTACATACATACATACGTACACACATACATACATTTCAAGAATGTTGGCTCCAGGAATATCACTTGACCCAGTTCACCAGAATGGAGAAGACATACAATTTGTCTTGGTACTTTTCATTTGGATAGGTTGGCTCTTAATGATTTGAAGAAAACAGTTCTTTTCAAATGACGCAGAATTGCAAAAAAAGCGATTTTTGCAAAAAAGCAAATTCTGCAAAGTCTTACATTATGTACTTTCATTTCTGCTCTTAGGCACATTAAACTCAATTGGTTGGATAAAAATCTCTGGCTAAATTAAATTTAAATTTGATTAGGAAATTTGCGTGTACATGTGGGCAAAGCACAATAATTGTAAATATAAAAAATGTCCTGATTATTGGAAATGTTCTTTTTTACAGATTTTTGCCATAGCTTCATTAGGGAACTAAATTTTCGTCTGGTGTGGGTCCATGTTGGGAATTAAACAGGACATGCCCTTGGTTGGGAAATCACTGAAGCAGTAGAAAGTTTTGTCCTTTCTGAAGTACAGCAACAGCCTCAAATGCTGGAACATTGAAGTAGTTTTAACTCCTTCCTGCTCTGGCTCCAGGGGACCCTCTGTTGCTATCTCCTAGGTCTGTCATTATTTCCTTTATAAAAACCAATTTCTGCCCTGGCTGGTTTGGCTCAGCGGTTGGAGCATCGGCCCATGGACCAGAGAGTCCTGGGTTCGGTTCCCGCTAGGGGCACGTACCTTGGTTGCAGTTTGTCCCCGGCCCTGGTTGGTCGTGTGGATGGCAGCCACTTGATGTGTCTCTCTCATGTCAATGTTTCTCTCTCTTGCTTCCTCCCTCTCTCCCTTCTGCTCTATCTGAAGATGAATGCAAAAAAAAAAAAAAAATGTCCTCGAGTGAGGATTAAAAAAAAAAAAAAAAGACCAACTTCTTGCTCTTCCCAGCCCGTTTCTTCACCAGGCTCTGGAAGGCAGGGCCCTAATGCCCTGGCCTATGTCCTCAACCCCATCTCAGCCAAAATGATTACCTTCCATGTTACTGCCTGACCTCTAATATGCACAAACAGAAAAATTTAAATAGGGATCCTTCAAAATGTTTCAGGGGGAAGAAAATACTTTTCAGAGGGTCAAAATGCCTTATTGCAAGGGTATAGGTACACAGCCAGTCACGTGAGAATACCTGACACATGCCGAAAGCAAAACAACTGAGTCCATCTGTAGCTCAGTTTACAGGTGTCATTTAGGCCTGTCTTCCAACCTCAGTCACCACAGGTTCCTCTCTGCTCAATAGATGAGAGGGAACCTTGCATTTTATAGGTCTTGACAAAGCATTCGGATGAGGTAGCAAAGGATTAAAATTATGAAGAAGTTCCCAGGTAGTATTATTAGCACATGTCCAAGTAATAAGTGAATCAAGTATTGTACTTAAAATGTCCATTCCCAGAACTCCCACGATCATCCTTTAGCCACATCGCAGGCTAGAAGACCCCCAAAGGTCTCAGTGATTCTATTGTCTGGAGTTTTCTGAGTATTTTGTTTTTCTGGTTTTGGTGGTTATTGGACAAAGAGAGGTTGGAAAAGCATCATGGTCTCCTATTTTCTGAAACTTTGTGTAGTGACCTTACAACCTTACTTAATAAATAGCCTACATAGCATTAAGGAAATACAACAATTTTCAGCATATAAAGATGTTCATTAGTACTTCAATTCATTAAGTGTTTACTTTTTCTTCTTTTGTTTTATTTTCCCTCTTTGTTTCCATCATTCCAGAAAATTCCTTCGTGCTTCCCCCGTGAAACCATTCTTCTCTCCAAGGAAACCACTGTTTTGATTCCATCACCGTAGATTAGTGGTGCCTTTCCTAGAACTATATACAAATAAATGAAAACAGCGAGAACTCATGTTTTCAGCATCTGTAAAGAAAACCTATCTTAGTGTCCTTATCTGTAAATTGAGGGGACCGTCTTACCAGAAGACTGTGCCGGCTTTCTGAGGGGGAGTAGGTGTCCCGGGAGGGGGGAGGGGCCTGACAAGTCACATAGACCAGGGGTGGGTGAAGAGGAGGCTGAAGAGTGGGGTCTCTCTTCTCATCTCCATACAAAGCAGCTGCACTTTCCCATGTCTTACAAATTGGGGTTCACTGAAAGATTTCATTTGGGAAAAGGATTCTTTGGAAAAAGAAATACAGTTAGAGAGCCACAGGTCTAGACAATCCTTGCTGATCCCTTCCCCTGAACATTCTATAAATTACAAATAGTGTTTTCTGATATGAGAGCTGTGACTGGTCCCCTAGAGAGAAGCCTGGGAGACAGAGGCAGCCAGACTGGGGGCCCCCAGGGAGGGCCTGGGCACTGAGCACTGTAATCTTAGTACTGGTACCATCAGATAGCGCCACCCCTAACTGAGGCACCTAGACAATAGGCCAGAGGCCGTGGGCCAGGGGAGGCACAAAGACCGCATTCAGAAGCCCCGACTCCCACAGCCCCGGAGCGTTTCTCTAGACTCTGCCCTACGCGGGCCCAGCCGGAATGTCACCTTACAGCCAGAAAGCCACTTTTTTCATGGGTAGCTTTTAAACTGCTAAAAATAATAAACACAGAAAGGAAAGCGCTGACACGTCCTTAACTGCAGAGACAAACTGGAACTGTTGTTATAATAATGTAAGCAAACCGGGCTCCGAGTTTTAGCCTAGCGTTGGAGACGGCGCTGCCTGCTGTTGCCAAACATCTGGGGAGGACAAGGAGCAGTCAGAGGGCTCGCCAGTCAAGACAGGGATCCTCACCACACAGGTGCTTACATCCTATTCGGCTTGCTCCACCCAAAAGGTGATACAATTCTTAGGTCTTTTAACATGCAAGAGAGACTGTTGGGTCTTCGTCGGGCACAATTTTCCCACATAACAGTTGAAAAATGAGCTTTTTTTATTCCTCTTCTTCCCCCAGGTGCATCTGTGCATTCCTTTACTCCAATTATGGTGTGTTTATTTTTTTTTTAAGCTCATTTACTGTTCTATGTTTCCTGAATACCTACAGAATTCAGAACTATGTTAAAGAACAACGGCAGCAACGCTACAAATTAGAAGGTGATTGCCATAATGCTGAAAAGTGACAATTCATCAGAGAGATCACGAGTCTGCCAACACCCAAGTCAGGCCCGATATCTGACCTTCTGATCCATGAAATCACGTGTGGAACTTGGCACCCACGGACGGCCAACGGGAGGGAAACTGCAGATCTGGAAGAAAGGAAACACAGGAAAATAAATATAAGTGCTTCTTTTTTGTTTTGAAAGTTCCCCCAACATTTGCTTAATCTGCTCTTCTGTCTATGTTTAAAAAGGGTCTGGTTTCAGAGCTGTCTCTGATTTTGAATAAATGCAAATGGACTTAGATAAATTCTCATTCCAAAGGGAAGGGGGTTCCAGATGGTTTCAGAGAAACCTTTAACACAAGGATTACAGTAACATATTATAGGCATGGGACAACGCTGGCGGATCCCAAAGACCTACTTTTTTGCAGACAGGACTCGGGAGTTTTAGAATCTCAGCCCGGGAAAATGACTAAAAGACAAATGTGAATCTGAAACAGTTTAGAAAATGTGTGCTAAATAGGATCAGCTGGGTCTCAGAGGACGTTTTCCAGGATAGATCTTAACAAATAAAAGCTTCGGCCGTGCCCTCTGGTGAAACCACAGGGTATGCACCCGACCGAGCGTGACGCTACGGCACTGTCTAGACTGTGTTAAGTGCGATTATGTTGGGGACACTTTGCACAGGTAGAAACAGATGAAAGAGATGGCCAAACAAACCATGGCATCTGCCTGTGCTTCAGACAATGTCTTCAAGGGTCTGGACAAGGGAGAAGCTGCTTTTTAACTAACCGTGGCCCCCCAGTTTGTGGTGTTGTAGGAAACTTAGCAATCAGAAAAGCAGAGGTTAGTAGAACCAACGTCTGGGTTCCCGCTACCCAGAATGGACTGCTGATGAATTTTTTTCATATTTGCTCTTTCTTTTTAATTATAAAAAGAGAGAGCATAGGCATAATCTCCTTGACAACCCCACTCTAAGGCCAGAACAGAAATGTGTTCGCAGCTTTCTAGTCCACTTCTTAAAACGCTGCCACATAATCTGTGTGTCCGGGACGAGGCACAGTGTTAGGTTTTTAATTTACCTGTATGACATGAATCTATGTATCTGTGTCTACACCTCTGCATTTTTGACTGAACGTTAGGTATGTGAGAGCTAACCGTGTGGCTCTCTAGCTCATCCTTTTAGCTGCCACACTGAATAAAAATATGCTCGGTCCCATTGAATAAATATATGCTCAGTCATTATCTTTTCACTCACCACCCAACATTTATGGCGCCATAAAAACACTTGTTATATCATTCAAATGGCTGTCGGTTATGTGTGGGTGTGCAAATGTATGTGTGTAGGTGTGAGTTTTCTCTGCCACTGGACTCTGGGCGTCTCAGGATATTGCCTTGTCTTGTTTGAACAGCGGCCCTTCTGCAGAATGACTCCATGCAGAACAACGTTCAGTGTGTTAAAAGGCAAAATATAGTTGCTAAAGTGAGTCTGCTTATTATACATTTTCTTGCCTTTTAAAGCAACATGAAGGAAGAGTTGGGGGCTGTTTTTATTTATTTTCTTCAAATCTCTCTTCACTGCTCTTGTCCTAAGTCTTCAAATCCCAAGCCATCAACATCACCTCGCTGTTTGCTAGACAGTCAGGAAGTCTGAGAGTATGAGGCCAAAGCAAAGACACTTAAGACACACATTCTAAAAGCATCCTCAAAGACTGACTTGACAAGGCCAAGAAGAAGCTTGTGTTTGTAACCGTTGTGTTTTTATGGTGAATATGAATAAATATACAGCACTACCCCTGACATTAATATTTAAAAACAAACAGTGCCTTTTGTGTGAAAACAATATTGAACTCCGATTTATTTTTTGAGGGTATAATTCTGATTTAGACGTTGAAGAATATATGTGAACCTGACTCAGGATAAACAACCTAAAAATTCTCATATCATGATTAATAATAATAAGCATTTTTGCACATAACATTCACTCAGCACGTTTTGTGGGCTGGGTTATGCAACATTCTTTCACCTAATTTCACTTCATTTAATCCTCAGAATGGTCATGCGAGGTAGGTGTTATTTTTTTTTATACATATAATTTTTTATCCTCACCCGAGGATATTTTTCCATCTTTTGTACAGATAGAGTGGGAGGGAGAGAGAGGAAGGGAGAGAGAGAGAGAAACATCGATGTGAAGGGACACATCGAATGGCTGCCACCCGCACGACCAACCAGGGCCAGGGACAAGCTGCAACCGAGGTACATGCCCTTAGCGGGAACCGAACCCGGGTCTCTCCGGACCGTAGGCCGACGCTCTAACCGCTGAGCCAAACTGGCCAGGGCGAGGTAGGTGTTATTAATAACCCCATTTTTCAGATGAGGTAAGGAGAGGCAGAGAAAGGTTTAACATTTTTCCCGGAGTCACACAGTGGGAAGAGGCTAGCCAGGAATCTCACCCAGGCAGTAGGTTGTCACAGGCCTTGTTCTGAATGACTGAGAACCGACTCAGGTTCTAAAGCTAAAACTGCAGAGAAGGAAACAGAAACAGTGTCACTGAGGTGGCTTCCAAATTTTGCTACAATACAAACAGACAGCATCTCTTTCATGCTGTGCCTCAAACCAAGAACAAACTCCAAGTAGACATATTCAAAGTGATTTCTTAGCAATGAAGGAAATCTGAAGTAGCAAGGTCAAGCCCCAAACCCTTCCAACCTAAGCATACCCAGTTTTAATTCTTCTCTTTAGAAAACAGGGAGCTAGCTGTGCATGCGCTCATGGATCAAAGGAGGTGGCCCAGTTTGCATACACAAGATTCAAAGCAAAAATGAGAATCACTTCCTGGGACAACTTTAGCCCAGAATGTGTGTTCTTTACACATTTTTAATCGGGGCACAAATATATTAACAGCGTGGTTATTTTGTACTTTCAAAAGAATCTGTTTTGTAACCGATTCATATTTATATTTGGAATACATTTATTTCTGTGCATGAAACAGTTCATTTTGTTAAGCCATCTGACCTGAGGTGAGGTTGGCACAATTTCCCAGGACTGCTCCCAATTAATGCAAATGGAAGGTTAAAGGATAAATAAAGTCCCTTTAACTTGGTTTACTAATATGTTATTTATAAATGTCTGTTTACTTGGTCTATTTTTTTCATTCAGTAGCTATGTACAAATGAATAGTACGGAACAAATTAGTAAATATATAATGTGTATTTTATTCCAAAGTTTTAATTTTAAAAGGGTTAATATTCTGGCAAAAAATTAATGTCATCTATCTATCTATCTATCTATCTATCTATCTATCTATCTATCTATCGTCTCAGGTCTCTTTAAATCTTATAGGGCCTGAGATTGATTGATTGCATTGCATTAACAGCCTACATTCTTCACCACTCCTTGTACCTACCCTTTTGTCATGCAACTCTGCAGTTCTTCTCACTAAAGAAGTTGAGTCTATTTTCCTGCCTCTTTGATTCTGATTTTGGCCATGTGACTTGCTTTGGCCAATGGACTGTCAGCAGGTATGCTGCATGCAGATGTTTGAAAAAGTTCTTGTTATGATTAAGTGTTTTCTTTTGCTTCTCTGTGATTGCCATGAGAACATGCCTGGCCAGTCTGTCATGGCTGAGAAGCATGGAGTGGAGTTAGCTCATGTCAGTTGTCTCTGCCAAGGCCTTCCTAGATCAGCCTTGACCAGCCAAGCCTCATACACATGAGAGAGCATGGGCATGAACAGAGCTACCCAGCTGACCTACAGCTGAACACAGATGCATAAGTGGGCCATTTGAAGTGGAAGAACCACCCAGCCAACCCTCAGACTTGTGAAGTTATAAATACTAATTGTTTCAAACTATTGAATTTTGAGGTAATTTGGTACTATGCCAGCTAATTCCATGTAATGCTCTTGTGCACTAGATGACTGGTATAGGACCCACCCCTGGCTCACTTAAAAAAGAGACGGCCACATAGAAGATAGTTTAAAATTGGGTAATAAAATTCAGCAAATATCCACCAAATACCAGCTGCATCAGTCAAGGTTCAACCAGGAAAATATAAACTGGTATAATTAATTAAATAGAAGAACTATAATGTAAGGCATCGATTACACAGAGGGAGAAAAAGATGTAAAGGCAAATGGGAAAATGAGGCATCCAGGAACTTGGTACGTGCAAGAAATCCTTGAGCTATAGGGACAAAGAATGGAAATGCTGGTAGTGGAGCCAGGGAACCGGAGTCAACCAGCAGAAGCTGAACTCTCAAAGGTCCTCTCTAGTAGGTACTGAAGTCCTAGAGGAGACACAATTGACATCAGAGATACTGTCTGAGGCAGAGAGTGTGAAGAAGGAGTACCCTGGCTTCTCCCTTTCTTGTGTTCCATTCTCCCTCCACGGTTTTTCAACGGTTGAACCCAGATGGAGGCCAACTGACTCAAGAACCTGGACAGCACAACCCTCAGTGAGCGGTCTCTCAGTAATACCAGGGAAGGGCAAGAAAAGGACCTGAAGGCCAACAGGCAAATATACCACCATGGTGTGCAAAATATTATACAAGTATGACTCAGTGCTGAGAGCTACATCCACAAAAATAATGAGCATCAGAATGGACACTAGGCTTGAAGGTTTAAAAGTAGCAGCTACTGTGGGAGCAAAGTGAAGGAGATATTGGGGAAATAGCAATATTCAAGCTTGGCTTAGAAGGCTGTGTATTTGGGAGGAGGGAGCAATGAACTACAAAGGCTGGAGCTTGATTGAGTTTGGTTTCTAATGCAAGTAGATTGAACTTCTGTTCTGAAGACAATGGGAAATGAAATGGTTCTGAGCAGAGAGTAATATGATCCAAACTGGATGTTAGGAATATTGCTCTAATAGAAATTTGAGGGGTAGATTAGAGGGAGACAGCTAGTTGAGGGGTTTTTAATCAACGGTAGACCTCAGGGAATTCCCAATGCTCCTGGACAAACTGGCAGGAGTTTGTATTCTGTTTTCTGAGAGATGGTAATAGCTTTCACATGATTTTCAATGGAGTCCATGACCCTTGATCCCATCAAAACCTGTCAGCACCAGAAGCAGAGAAGTGATCTAAAAAGCTTCTGCAATAATTCTTTTAATGAGGACCAACAATGTAACAGTGGCAATGGGAAAGGAAAGA